AAAAGTTCGGTTCACACTTAACGAAACTTCTAGATGGTTTCGTAGTGAAACTTCAAAACCCTTTACAACTTTCGGAACTTATAAAGGTTCTGTATGAAAGTTCCGAAACTGTTTTCGTGCCACCGAACTTAAAATCGTTTCGTAAAATAGTACCAAACCTTCAAAGTTCGGTAAAACACTTATTTTTTTTACAGTGTATCGGCACAGTTTAGAAAGCATCACGAGAGTTCCTCTAATGTAGCATTACTTTTTTTGATAAAAAAATCACTACTCGTCGAAGAAATTATAATAAGCAACATCTTTAACATTTACATATTCATATGGATATGAATTGACTACCCAATTTTTGACTCGAGTGGACAATTTTCGAATGAAGCTGATTTCTACTTACAAATATTCGGCTGGAGGTAATTCAAGATGTACACTCTAGCCGGAAAAAATAGCTTGTAATATTTTTTTCATTCTGAATAATATTTCGGTAAGATTCCTTGCAAGTTGTTTTTCAAAATTTCACTATCGTTTCGTAGAGAAAATAAATTTACATATCATATACGAAAATCAACTTGTTATATATCCAAAAAATTTTCAGGCACGGATAGGATTTCAGAAAAATATTTCAATCAGTACATAGAAAAGAAATCTCAAATATTAGATATATAGACAATTTCGTGAGTGTTCAAAAGTGACCTGAAGCAAAATTTTCATGGGATCAACTAAATGTACATAAGTGAATTTTGATAGGTTTTGAATGATGCTGATCAAGATGAGAATATCAATTACAAATGAATAAATTTTAGTTCGTGTCTCTAATCATCGGTGCTCGCAAGAAAACTATCTCAAATTAAGTCAATAAATTGTTTTTTATCGATATTCTTTTCTCTTCGTGTTAGACTCATTATCATTTTGGAAATTTGTTTTTTTGCATCATTCATAAGGTGCATTGATCTTCTTCAAATGTGTGAACCAACACAAAAGAGCAGTTTTTTAAATTTTGTTTTATTTTATATCTTTTCAACTATATATTTGAGTGATATTCAAATTATTAGTCAGAAAACTATATGCATGGCAATACATCACTAGATCACCAAATAGAGAATTTTAGCAAGAGTGCTTTAACAAATTATTTTCAATTTTATTTCAGAGATATATTTAGCAACATTTGGTTTTTACCTTCAACAAAAGTCAACAGAGAATTTATATACAGATGAAACTATAACGCAACATCAGCTACTTGGAAAAGCATGAATACATATATTGCATCAGGATATGTTAGTTTCGGATGTTATAATCAGTATTAATTGAGATAGTCATATGCAAATATAATTATTAATATTTGTTTTGAATATTATTTGTAAATGAGAATGCCAGACCTTTTGAAGGCAAATGAATTAAACGTTAGTATTGTGTTTTCTGATCAGTTTTTGTTGCTAAAGCATGTTTTAACAAAAACAGGAGCAACCAATTTTTTCTAATAGGTACTGGTCGGTTTCGGTTTGTCACAATCTCACAAATCTTTCCCAAAAATTATTCAAACACAGATACAATCCTCTGCCATTTTAAATATTAAAATGAAACTAGCATTATTGCGAAAAGCTGAAGCAGCAGTTGAAGATGTAGGATGATTTTTAAACTCCAGTAGATCTCCAATTATTTTAAGTAGTTAAGGCCCGCATCTCTATTATGCATATACTTTATTCAAAATAAGATACAACACGTTATAGAATTCAGATTCTTCATTCTATGAAAGAAGAAAATAGTTCTCACGATTTCTCACGAAAAATAGCGCTCTATAAGTCCATTAAATCTGTATTTTTCAAAATAATTTCTTTTCTTCAAATCCTACAAAAAATAATTTATGTTTTCTTGAATCATTGTTATGTTAACCGATGTTCTTCTATTCGAATACGATTTCAATTTTCACCTGCTGCTTAAAACTGTCTTTCAATAGCTCCTTTAGTTTCGTCTTACCAAACTTATAGCCAGTTGGTACAGTAATCAGAGCATAAAGTACTCCATCGTATTGTATTTGAAGATTCACTTTGTTTTCTCCCGTCGATTTTTGTATATCGAGCCGGATTGATTTATTTTCCACGACTTTCTGCTTGTCTGATTTATCTAACGTTGCAAGAAACTTGTCTTCACTTTCATTTCGGTCTTCGGAATTCAACCACGTGCTTTTAGTAAATTTGCGTCTTTGATCGTACCCAAAGATAGTAACACCTTCCAATTTTATGTTAGATGTTTCTTTGAACTGATCGATGTTACAATAATCAATAAAATTAGGAATTACTCTAGTTAACATGGCATCCGGCTTGGTAAAACCCGTCTGTGGCTCACGAATTTCCTTTACGATTCTTCCACTTGCCATATTTTATGCTTATGAAATAAACGACGATGTTCGTTAATGCGTTAATTAAGATAATGTTCTTCTAAAATAAAAAGATCTTGTTTCGTAGTGCTAATAATATTTATCGCAAGTCGATGACCCGTAATCGTCTGAAAACGATCAAATATGTTTGAAAAGCGCTTATAGTGTCAACACAAATGGATATGTGGTTCAAACACACAATAAACGGGAAACCGTCAGACGAGAAGAGCAAAGAGTTGGGATGAAACTTGATAACTCAAAAATTCAACATCAAAGACGACAGAGGGCTTACATGAAATAATATATGGTGAAATTATTTGACGGATTTCCAATACTTGTTTAATATGGCATTCGACAACCTATTCTGGGCGATTTGACAAACAACAAGGCTGCCATTTTGAGCAGCAAACTAACTCTGGCGAAGACCATATAACATGCGATAAAATCGAAGTTTTCTGGGAAGACCTGTGGAATGGCATGATAATGTTCTCAGCAATTTAGAGAACTAGGTACTCTATGGCATCAGGCTAGGAGTAGTACTTTACAAAAAAAAGTGCTAAAACAATAACACCGTAATTGAGAAAAGTCTTGGATAAAGAGGCATGCGAAATGAGGGTGTGAGTATTTCTACATTGAATGTAAAATTGGTTTGCTTATTTTTTATTTTTCTTCGACGAAGAAAAGCAAAAAATATACGAATACTTTCATTGCTACTAACGACATTCGTCGACTTGTGCCTCTGATTTATTTTCGTGTCTCCATACTAGTTTAAATTGTATCAATTTAGTTAAGAACAGAACCGAGCCGTGCCCATCTGGGCTTCCTTTGTGACGATGATCACAACCGATGTGTAGCCTCTTATGAAATTTTTTTCAGTTCAAGACAGCTCACATGGAACTGGAAAGATATTAGAAAATAATGCCGAGGTACGAACGTTTGTATTCATCCAGAGTAATTGACGTTACTATTTCGTGATTTGATTGGCAATATCTCGATTTTATCAATTAAATTTTGCGAAGATACAGCAGAGTATCATTCCTAACGAATAGATGGTAAAAGGTCGAAAGAATTTTGTCGGAAATACAAATTCTGTTTAGTTTTAGATTTCATTCCCACTGTTGTGTTGTTACATTTGCGTACTGTATTAAATTCTATTGGTAAAAACTTAGAAAAATTTTCTTACTAAGGATGTACAAACATTTGTAGGATGCTCATGAAATTTTAAATTTTATTGTCTACCTTTTAACATTTTACTGGTCTTACTTTGAAGTGAGCATGCACCCACACCCAGATTAATATTGGATATTTTCTGCATCGGTAGATGCTGATGGACACAATACTTTAATGTCTTTGATCTGATCGTTCGATTAATAGATATTTTCTCAAACTTTGATCTAGTGTAGAAAACTTTTTTAAGATGCTCAGTATCTGATGATAATAGATAAAGAAAGAAGAAAGAAAGAATACCCTTGCCTTGTGGCTACCTTTCAGTATAGGGTGTTGTCCGGAGACAATTTCAAGAGCCCGATATTTTTCCTACAACTATTACTAGCTGCAGCTCTGGACAGAAGGCTGGCCTGACTCAGAGTTCCTTCCACTTAATTACTTAGGCTTCCCATGCATATTGACTAACCACATACTATCCATGAGGATATTTTTATGTATGTCACATGTAATCAGTGTGCTATCGGATGGGTGATCCGAGACAAAGCAGCCGTTAGTAACTTGTCCAAGGTTATTCTATGGATGATGGCGCCGAGGTTTGAACACACTGTCTTGTGGATATGTGCCGAACATCTTAACCATTCAGCCATAGCGGCTAATAGATAAAACGCACAGATTAGCATCAAGTGATGATCTTATATGCAACCCATGGGTCTTCCCATCGTAACGATTAAATGTGTCAGATGATGAAAACATCTACAATCTGACAACTAAAAAATTCGTGAATTTAACTCTGTAGCATATAGACAGCTCTCTTTGTAGAATAAGCAACATGTACCACATTCGGAACCAGCACTAGCTACTATTTTGAGACGCAACACGATGTATATACTGAACGATTAAAAGTGTCAATTGCTTTTTATTTATTCATTCTCATCCTAGATCGAGCTTTCTGAAAGCCGCCACAATTCGACAATTCGATTTTCATCGAAGTTAAGAATGCTCGTTCAAGGGAAGCCTAGTGGAAGGATATTACCGAGTCATTAAGCGCCTTTATATAAATAAAGGAAGTTAAAAACAGATAGGAAGTAGATTTTCAACTTGGTTCAGTACAAACAAATCTACTATGATAAAAGAATTGACTATTTAGTTTAATTTTGATTCTATCAAACTTCTTCGAAAAGTTACATTGAAAAATATTTGTCATTCTACAAAGTTTAGCAAAATTCTTTCTATTAGACCTATATTTCACTCAGAAAAGCGTAATCGCCTGAGTAATGCTCAATGTTAACTGATAGAAGAACAGAATGAAAATAGTCAGCTCTCTTAAGAAAAGTAGAACTCTAACATATTTTCGCATTTTGAATCTTTTGCAAAATGATCGTAATATGAATCTGATACTTGAAAATTTAAATTAGTTATTTTTGCGCTATTATCATATTTATCTCGTCAGAAAAGTACTTAATTTTAACACGTTACAGAGCGTGAAAATGTGTGATTGTTGCGACGAAGAAGCTAGAAATTTTTTTTTAAACAAACCTACAATACGCACAATTCTGACCGTCAGAAAGCATTGAAAGGAGGACGTTTTACGATGAAAAAAAACAGAAGTTTGCTGACATCATCCTTTTTGAGATTTGTTTGCTTTTAAAAAAGATTCTTTTTGCTTCTAATGTAAACAACACACAGTTTAGTGCGTAAAAATGCGTTCTTGTACTCATTTTATTGTGGCCTTGACAACATCTTTCAAGTGAAAGAACTGTTTCGTTTCAAATCGAAATGTGACAATCGCCAAATTTAAAGAGAATCAGTGTTTTAGAAACACTACCCATAAATTCAGATCATTCGTACAAGGCCCTAATTAAAAATCCAAAAGAGAAGAATCGTCGGTTCGCTTCTGCTTTTATAGGGGGAGTCGAAAATACTTATCAAATTTTTCAATCATATTACGTTTCCACTCAATAAAATTATTTTAGAAAGAGAGTGTAAATATGATTACGTGCGTGCATGTGCATATATGAGAGCATACATATTTATGTATTTGGTTCATAGACACCATAAAACTCACAACTACATTCTCTTTTCGTTTTGATAAATATTTCAGAGTTGGTGCTTATGAGATGAACATTGATTTATCTGTCTTGGCATTGAAAATAACTGTGTCGTACTTTTCTGATTTCCTTCAATAAAGATATTACTTCTTTCGAGCACTTGTTACGATTATTTTTTTCTGATTTCAAATAGTTATTTAACAGGATTAAAGCACTGCCGCAATGGAATCAGATCACTATTATCGGTTGGCTGTCCAAAGGTCGAAAGGAAAAACGTCGAAAAATCGATGGGGAAAAATGTCGAAAGGGAAAAATGTCGAAAAAAATATATTGTTGTGGAAAATGATCGAAAAGAGTATTTTAGAATTCTGACTTAAGAGAAGGATGTTTTATTGTGTACGTTAATACTAACATATGATAATCGAAATAAAACCAATGCAAATATAAAACAGAAAAAAATATAAAATGCTATTTTTTTCGTTTTGCCACTGTATATGATAAGCCATCTAAGTACTCCATAGCGCTTATAACGCCATCATAATATCGTTGACCAAGATTATCAATACGACGTTGAATTGCGATTGTTTTGGCTTGTTTAGGTCTTGCTCCTAAACCTGCATAAAATTGAATACGTAAATGATGAAAACGATTCTCTTCTCCTTGTAGAAATTTTATGAACGACCACATATTTGGATGAGTTATTTGAACTCGACGGTTGAAGCGACTATGAAATGCTAAATAAGACATGAGAAAATAAAATTATAGGAGGACTAAAAAATGTGTTTACCTTCAGCATTATTATTGGTTCTCATACTAAAACCATGCACACACCATTGAGACATAGGAACTTTAACAAACCATTGTCCTTGAAAATACTGTAACAAATCATTTAGTTTATTTTTTATTTCGATTGACATTGCTGCTAATAATTCATCATAAGTGTCTTCAATGATTGGTTCAGGAAGTAAAGCAAGGGCCATTAACTTTCGACAAGAATGTTTAATATCATTGCCATTATTATAACTTGTAGATAACCCGACTCGGTGTATAGCTCGATAGACAGCTTGCGTAAAGTGAAAATAGCAAGATGAATGCGTTGCTCCAACAAACTGTAAGAACAAGAAATCAAAATGCTACTCAGAAAAAATATGAGACATTTACTTCAGCTGCAATTACGGTGATTAAAGCACGTTCAAAGTCACTCATTATTGATTTAGGTGTAAAGTTAAGTTGCATTTGCATAGCTATTGATTTTAGCTCCTGAAACATGAAATGATATGTGGTTTTTAATTGATTAGGTAATAAGCCAAATACACAAGGAAATGCTACACAGAAATACCGTTAGTTGTAAGCATATAATCAAGAGTCAAGCTATTCACTCACATTGATCATATTTTATAGCATCCATCGTGTAGACTTGGTCGAACATACTTGGATAAGTTGAAAATGTTCCATCCATTAATATTGTATCGGCACCTAAAAGCATTTTCAATTGTTCACGTGATGCAAATAAAAATATTCGCTGTCGCCTTGTAATCATTTTATCAACAATTAAAAAGTCATCATCGTGTAATGTTTTCGTAAAAGGTTCAGGGATATCAAATAATTGTGTTGTTGAAATTGTAGGTGTCATAGCACGACGTGATTTGTTTATTCCACTGTCTGAAAATTAGAAAAAACAGCAATGAAGATCAGGTACACCTGCATAATATGCTCTTACTCATTTCACGCTCACTTGGTAATATAGCTGTTGTTGCATCTGATAGTTTCGCTTTTGCACATTCTTCGTCATATATCCGTGGAATAGGCGCTGTTTCATTTACTTCTCGTTGTTTAACTTTCTCACGAAATTCACGAACTTCAATAGTTTCTTTTTCTGAAGGATAACATGCTCATCATTTATTTTAACTAAATGACCATTCACATCTGTATGAATTTTAGCAGAGCAACTATTAACTACACATTTCCAATATTTTGTAGTAGTTGTTGTTTTATTTAATTTGAAAATGTATTCATTTGCTATTAGCAATTGTTTTCCTATCTGTGAATTAATAAATGAAATCTTTGGTGACTTTGATTGAGTTTCATCTTCTGAAGATGCGACAGCTGTAGCCATAATGGTAGAATTTTAGTTATTTATTTACTCTTATGTAGGGGTTGTTTATTTAATTTATATGAAGTATATTAATCATCACTGTTACAAGAGGTGCAAAATCTAGACTAGTAGAATTATGGGAAAAGAAAACATGAATTATTCGCGCTTGGAATCATCATTTACTGTAGACATCGCTATTTCGTTTATTTCGAATTTCGACATTTTTTTGTGGTAAAATGTATTGTTCGACGTTTTTCTCTTCATATTTTTTTCGACATTTTTCCCCGTTCTAAAATTTTTTTCGACATTATCCCCTTTCGATATTTTTCCTTTCGACCTTTCTACGGCGCACCCTATTATCAATATCAATCCTTAATAAATCAATAAATTTGACTTTGAAATTCCAGCTCATAGCTTTAAAGTTTTAATGCTTATGCAATACATTGTTTACACGAATGAACATACGAACACAATTTGTTAGTAATTAGAAATATCGAACAGTTGATTATAAACAATACATCCACTTTGAGTCGACACTGTTGTTATAATAGAAAAAGTATGAGCTCAATGACACGATCTTTAAATTACATGATAACAATAAGTTTCTGCAGCAAAAACTTTTCGATTGCTACAACTGCACTATTAGAGCCATCACAATTGACAAATATAGAAAGGTACGCTGACTTTATATCTGTTATACACAAAAATTGTACAGAGAATGAGGTGAAGAGGTTTTCTTAATGCTTTTGAATCAAGTGTTAGAATAATTTCGACATTCCTTCGATGGAAAGGTGGTGCACATGAAATTTAATGAGTTCATGTATTTTTGTCTTTGTCTGTGTGCACTTAGAAATCCACAAATATTTGAGCCTGTTTAAATTAATTACTCGGTGCAAGGACTACTTTTTGGGCTATCTTCACATGAATAGATTATTTAGAATACAGCTCTCATCAAACCAGATTATTTCATGTTGGGATTTAAGATAATCATATGTTTGGTAATGTCTAGCTTGTTTTTTCGTTATTTGATACGATTTATTTTTCTTGACATTACTTTGAATAAAATGGCTCAATTATTTTTCAAGTCTATTCAGAAGGTACAAAAAAAGGAGAAAGTTATAGTTAGTGACTCAATTTATTTATCAAGATTGCGGAATAGTAAGGTGCGCGTAATTCAAAACTTCCACAAGTTTTATTTTTCGTTTAAACACA